TTTTCAGTGATGATTTGAGCCTTTACTTCACAAAGTGAATAAAAGCTACTGTTAACCAGTGTCCTTAAATTTCAACCAACCATCATTGCCAGTGCCAACATCTTCAATTCTTTCTTACATGGACTGAGACGGTAGCTGAGATGGCATGTAGCTCTGACTATATAAACTAACCCACCCACTTTCTAGAGCAATGGCTTTTGGCTTTGGCTGTACATCTGAATGACTTGCGATACTTTTAGAAACTGAGCTTCAAATGTTACAAGCTGGGAATGGGAACAATGAGATGGAGAAGTGAGAGGGTAGAGATCCCTGCTGTGTTGAATGTTAAATAAAAAATAAATTCAGACAAACAATAATAAAACCCAATTTTCAGAATCTCCTTTGGTCAATGAAATCATCTCCATAGAGGGAGGTTCAACCATCATTGTCTTTTCTGAGTTCCCAGATTGTTTTGTTGGAAACCAGACTCAAACTTCCACTAAGGAAAGAATCTCTTGTATGTTCACAAGAGTTCAGTTTTAACTCTCAGCAGAGACCCTCCTGACACACATCTGTCCAGACAGAATACAGCATTCTGTACTGGCTTTTCACTCTTGAGAATAAACATGATATCCCAACATCTTTTCATGGTCTCCCATAATCATTTCTAGTTTCTTTGTCGTACTGTGCCTATGCTTGCTTGTGTAAACCACCCTACGACCTCTGTCACCTTTATCTTTATCTCTGTCATCTTCTCCACTTGCCACAGAGTTCCTGACCAGGCAGTTTAACCCTGCTCTGTTTTGAAGATCATTATTAGTTCAACCTCCTCCTCTATCTGCTTTACTATTTTCCTTCCTCTCCTTGCTCCCTAAATATCATCATTCTTTTGAATCCCATTTTTTTTTCAACATTTTGTTTGACAAGCATTTTGCTTGGTTCTAGACCCCTTTTGAAAAGTATTCTGAAATCCATGGACTTTTCCCTTGCTTAATCAAATTTGTTACCAAGGTTTGTTGTAAAATTTGTCTTTATGTTTTGTTAACTTTGTCTCATTGTTTCTTGCTTTAATGAGGGAATCCCAGAAGAATAAGCAACTCCACTCCCAAATTCACACCTCAGAATCCCCCCAATAACAGAGTGCTCTCTTGGTTCATGGTTTGCTTCTGGTCTCCTTATTCAATACATGCCAAGGGAAGTTGACAATTTACAGGCGTTTCGGAGGGCTTTTGCAATTAATCATCTTCATTCCCCAACGATCGATCGCTATTTAACCACTCATTTAGTTGGTAATTTTCCTAAGCAGGAAATTATGTTTTAAAAAAATTGTTTACACGCATGTAATCCCAGTACTCAAGGAAGCAGAAGCAAGAGGATCTCTGTAAGTTTGAGGCCAGCCTGATCTGCAAAAGTAAGTCTAGGACGGCCAAGGCTACCCAGAGAAACCCTGTCTCCAAAAAACAAACAAACAAACAAACAAAAAACCCAACAAAACAAAAATATTGAGAAAACAGAGCAGTAGAAAGGTCACACAGAAAATGAAAGAGAGCCCTGGTATTAAGACCATTGACTGCAGGCTACTAAATATGTCCTAAGAGGGTTAATTGCTAAACATGTTAAGTCTTGTCTGCCATACAGTGTCTGTTGTAATTACTCAAATTAACCATTGTAGCATGAATCCAGCCACAGAACCCAGTATGAAAAATGAACGTGGTTATGTCCCCCCAAAATTTTATTATAGAAGTAGATGTATTTGCCTTTTGAGCCACCCTACTTCTGATAATAAGTTATGTTTTAAGAACAGAAAAATTGTGATAGCCAAGTAATGAGGCTAAATTTTGTTTCAATTGGAAAGAGTTTTTTAAGTTCTTGGCATTAGATAAACCCTTCAGAGAAGCTTAGGCATTCCAAGTGAGATTGGTACAGGAAGGTGATTACAAAAAAGAGGAGGTTGGTGGCAGTAAGGGACATACACACAGATAGTGATGGTAAAGGGAGAAGGTGGGGGGGGGGAGAAGGTGGTGGTAGAGTTATGCTCCCAGCCCTCACAGCTTCCTCCTGGGCCCACCACTGTGCTCTTTCTGGCTCAGCCACATGCACAAATACTGCTTTGAGGGACTGAAATAACGAGAGCAGATTAATGGCACCAGAGCCTGTACATATAACTTGGATATCGTGACACTCCAACCAGAGCACTTTTCAATCCTTCAACACCTTAAACAACTAAGAGCAATAAAGGCTTCCTCTGAGGGAAAAATTTAAAAGTAGCCTCAATGTTAATCAAAAAGAGGAATTCAGCAAAGGCTGCAAACAGCTGACTTTCATGTTGCAGCCACATGGTTTTGGTAGAAGGAAACAGATGGCCTACTTGGTTCCAAGTGAATAATACAGTACACATTACTCATTTGGAACCCAGATCAGACTAGCATTTACTTATCACCTCCGCATAACCAAGAGCTGGAGCTCAGAGAGAAAAGTACTGTGTTTCTGACACAAAGCCTTTGCTCTGCAAAGAAAGAGACTGGGATAGAGATAAAGAAGTTACTTACATTTTCAACACGACTAGCTTCACAGTTTGTTGAGAAAGATTAAATGATTGCAAGAGCAATCATTTAAGACTTTTGTTTCCATTAGAATATATATATTTCTCAGCTGTAACCAGGAACCAAGGGTTGAGATGGAAACAATAGTCCTTTTTGACCTTCAGTACCACCATGAGTGAAAGCAAAAATTCCCAATGGATGATTTTGAAGTGGAAAATGAACTTTATACTCATTTGAGAGAAAGAAACGAACTCCAAATAAAGAACAGCAAGATAGAGTCACTCCCCTGCACCTCCCCCCTGCCCCGTGAAACACTTCCTTACGTTCAGTGATGTAGAACTTTCACCATGGTTATGGGTGAACATGCTTTCCTCCAGGCTTTGCAAATTAGTTCAGTGAGTCAATTTAGAACTCAAGACACTGTTACTAGTCAAGGCTCCCAGCACACTGAGCATTGCCCCTACATTAATATTTTACCATGCATTTCTGCATCCATTACTTTCAGAACCCTTGCCTCTATAAAGAGACGAGATGGCAAGCGCCGATTTTTCTCTCACCATCAACTGAAAGTCACCTGTGGCCTTCACATCATTTGGAGGCTGGCTTGGTAAATATTCTCAGAAGCGCTTTTTGCAGCATTTTGTTAGAAAGTAGATGCGAATTTGTCCTTGAACATTTCCTGCCTTCCTCGATTAAAATTTTTTAATACTCAGAAATGGATTAGGAAATATATCGTTTCTAGGTGTCTGTCACCTAGAATTCGAAGCATTTCCTTTAATGGTCTATTATCCAACCTACCCTTGGGGATAAAATTGCAGCCTTTCTTTATACCACCTCAAACCTAATATATGCTCACTTATTTTATTAAAATGTGTTACATCTATTCTAATTAACTCAAAAGGGATTCTTTACTTTATGGTTTTCAAATATGTCTAATTTAGTGAAAAACTTTCTTCAACTAGTACATTTTTTTTCACTATCAATGTACCAGTTTATTGATATTATCAGCTCTTAATCACTATTCACAACTATGTGTGAGCTACATTATTTTACAGCAGGCAAGGCCATCATTTTGTTTGTACCAGGATCTACAACATGAAAATTCATTGTGATGCTACACTACAATGGCTATGTCAATAGACAATAGACAGTTTACTGTTGTCATATAATTTTATGAGATCATTCTCATAATACACCTGTCCCACAGTACATGATTACATATTTGACAGTGGGTATTTATAGGTATTTATCTATTTATTTATTTTTAATGTTTAATTTTTAATTTTTATTAATTACAGTTTATTCACTTTGTATCCCCCCATAAGCCCCTCCCTCCTCCCCTCCCAGTCCCACCCACCCTCCCCCTTCTTCTTGCTTGCTTGCCCCTCCCAAGTCCACTGATAGGGGCTGAAAAGCAGCAAACCAAGTAATCCACTTAAAAAATGGGGAACAGAGCTAAACAGAGAACTCTCTGTAGAGGAATATCGAATGGCAGAGAAACACTTAAAGAAATGCTCAACCTCATTAGCCATTAGGGAAATGCAAATCAAAACCACCCTGAGATTTCACCTTACACCCATCAGAATGGCCAAGATGAAAAACTCAAGTGACAACACATGCTGGAGAGACTGTGTAGAAAGGGGAACCCTTCTCCACTGCTGGTGGGAATGTAAACTGGTACAACCACTCTGAAAATCAATCTGGCGCTTTCTCAGACAACTAGGAATAGCGCTTCCTCAAGATCCGGCCATACCACTCCTAGACATATATACAAAAGGGGCTCAAGTACACAACTAGTACATTTTTTTAAAAAAATTCTCATCAGATGAAATGATTTTAAAAGATTGGACATTAAGTTTTTGAGACACATAGACAACAGCACTGTTTTTTTTTGTTTGTTTATTTGTTTGTTTTTTAACCTCTGCTCTTAGAGAGAAGAGTGCATATATATTGGTTGACATTTGAGTTAAGATATTACTGAAGATGATAGTTGATGTTAGAGCCGGGGTTCGTAATTGACTGCAACCAGGGGTGCTGAGTAGATCTGAATCAGACAGTGACCCAGATGGTGAATAAGAGAAATAAGAAAAAAAACTGAATGTGGAACACAGGGCAGTGTCTTCATTCATATGAAACTGAAAGCAATGTTCTCCAATTTCATGAGTTAGCCAAGTGACCAATGGCCTGACTTTTAGCTCTCGCTTCCATTCTTAGCCATATCTCTTTGTGAAATACAAGACAAGAATTCAAAATTGTCTGTAGAGTGGCTCTAGATTCTCGGGCGTTTATTCTAAAAATTGAGTGGGCTATAGGTTTTCTACACTGGTACCGTGCCTATTAGAATGTAGTAAGACATGTTCATAAATTCTGGAAAACAAGAACTTAACCTGTGTCTCTGAACCAAGTAAATAATAATTTAAGAGTAAAGATAAAAATTACAAAGTTTGGACAAATAGTAATGGATTTTACCTCTTACAGATTATTGTGGAGAGAACTACAGAAGGATGGGATCCAGCAAGAGAAAAGGGGAATCCAAGGACCATTCTATAAGCAAGCCCATTCTATAAGTGGGCTACAAGCAATAGTGGTGAGTACATGTATGTAATTACTATATGGATATAAAGTGAAAGTCAGATTGTAAAGAAAGTTGAAGTCAGATTGGCTGAACTGCCTGCAAACTGCCTGTGTGTGATATCAACTATTTTCAGCTTGCTAACTTGATGATTATTTTCTCAATGATTAACTGTTCCTCTCCTGTCTTCAACTATCGCCATAGACACACACACACACACACACACACACACACACACAGAGAGAGAGAGAGAGAGAGAGAGAGAGAGAGACAGTAATCAAATATTGAATTGATAAATGTGCTCATGTTTAAATTTTAAGAGTGGTTTCTGACAAGACTGCATTTTGATGGGATTAAATGTCAGGAAGCAAATTATGTCTTAAATTTCGTGTTTAACTCGCCTGTAATCTATGTTTTTTCAGCCTTATTTTTCTCACTTGAAGCTGAGGTGATGTGCTAAGCCTCGCTGAAGAAGGAAAAACAAACAAACAAAGAAACAAAAACACAGTCACATGCATATGACCACCTTCTCCCATTTATATTTTTCATTATGTGATTATCAATGAGCATTTCAGTCCACAGTGAAAGCTTAAACAAGGCTTTCACAAACAAAACACAAAAGCAGTTGGCAAGGTTTCTTTGATGTCTTTGATCAATTAAACAAGGAAACAAAAGTTGAGTAGAGACAAAAGAAGACCTAAGAATGTAAATGAAGTGCTCTTGATTAGACGCTGTTAGACCCCATGAAATGTATCTGTATGAAATATCACCAAAAGTGGTACTAAAAGCAAGAGCATCAGTGGCAAAAAGAAACCAAATACTCGAGATTCTCTCACCAAATGCTTTGAGTCTACAGTTGATTCTGAGGCCATGAAAAAAAATCTTTAGTGATCGAAAAGATTAGTAACCATTAGTGCAAAATTGTTTTGTTTCCTAATTAAGTGAGGAAATAAAGTAAAATTTAAGCTCACTGGACAAATTTCAAGATTTACTAGATTCTTAGATGGAGCTATTCATTCTTCCCAAATTAACTTATGAGTTCACCACATTTGCATTGCATACAAAGAGAATATCTGTGTGTGTGTGTGTGTAGCTGTCTGTCTGTCTGTCTGTCTTTCTGTCTGTGTCTGTGCGTGTTTGAGACAGGGTCTTACTATGTAGCCCTTACTACCCTAGAACTTATCTGTTGACCAGGCTAGCTGCAAACTCATAGTGATCCATCTGGCTCCCTGGTGTTGGGATTAAAGGTATGTGCCACCATGCCAAGCTGACCTTCAGCTTTCGCTAGAAGACAGTGATAACAACAAGAAAACTGCAGTTAAAAAATGTCACACTGTCTTTCTCTTAAGGAACTTACGGTAAGCTACAAAGAGTAATTTTTAGCTAGATAGTCTTTTGAGGACATCTTTTAGGACATTGAAGAAATGACTCCAGTTAAAGCATTGGTTTTTGATTTGATTTGAACAACAGCAACAAAACCAGCTCATGGTCTGAGAGGAGAAATGTGGCTACATTTTAAAGGATAGACTTCTTCAGTGCTCTGTTGGGATACATCAGTCACTCAGTTATTTTCATAGGAAGCGCACAGATGTTCACCTTTACACACTCAGCTCACAAGCCATTGTTGTGACTCAGCTACATTGATGCTCTATTTATTTAGCACACCTGTAGGAATGAGCTGGCTGCTCCACCAGGGTGGGAAGGTCATTGATTTGGCAGAGTGACTCTTTTAGGCTGTTGGTCCATATACAGCTTATAATTGTTGCATGGTATATTTGAAATACAGGCAGTGATGCCTAATTTTCTTCAGGTTGTTTTGTGATTATCTGAAGGAAGAATGACTTCTCATCCATCTCCCTGTTGATGTAGGGTATCCACCAGAGAGGACCGCTTGGATGTGGATTGAAGCCCATTGAGCGTCTTCATTAGCTGGCTGTTGAAGACACTGGGTGTTCAGGATCCCAGTGTAGTCCTGAGCCTTTCTCACGGTGAACTTTTAAGCACAGACACAACACCGACACACACAAACACACACAAGTGTTCTGGGTTGACATACTTCAGTTAACAAGAAGAGTTAGCCGGAAATGGAGGTGCAAAGCTAAAAAGCAAGGTTATTAGAGACTCCCAGAGCTTTGTGGACTTTGACGGATTAGGGCTTTATATTAGTTTTGGCAGGTGGTGTTGTCTGTGTGCTGAGTTTTACAGCCTGAATGGCATTCCATTATGGAGTTAGTCGTGCTAAGGTCTGGGGCCCTGTTAGACTGTGATTGTCAGTTATGAGTGAGACACTAGTGGTAGTAGTTCCTGGAAAATCCACAGTGGAGACGCAGAGGTTGTTTGTTGTGTTATCTGTTCATCTGGAGCTTGTTTTATTAAAGCTGGTGGTTGTAGTTACTTAAGGAGAGTAAGCTGTTACAGGGAGAAAATATTTGGATTTAAACATTCAGTCATAGAGGGCAGCGGGAAGAATAGCGGTAGTCACAAACCATACAGTGCTGCCTTCTGCTTCCATGCCTTTTGTCTTGCTGGCTATCCACTGTTAGTACTACTTTTCAGTTTCCTACAAAAGTTATTCATAAGCCCAACACATAGTCTAACATTTAATTTGTTCTCTTTTGCTATACATTTTTGTATTTTCTTTTTTATTTTAATTATTATTATTTATTACAATTTATTCACTTTGTATCCAAGCTGTGGCCCTTTCCCTCATCTCCTCCTAATCCCACTCTCCCTCCCTCTTCTTCTCCTATACCCTGCCTCTACTCCACTGATAGGTGAGGACCTCCTCCCCTTCTATCTAATCCTAGCCTATCAGGTCTTATCAGGACTGGCTGCATTGTCTTCCTCTGTGGCCTGGCAAGGCTGTACTCCTCAGTAGGAGGTGATCAGAGAGCCTGCCACTGAGTTCATGCCAGAGACAGCTCCTGCTCCCTTTATTAGGGAACCCATTTGGAGACTGAGTCTACAGGCTACATCTGAGTAGGGGTTTTAGGTCCTCTCCATTCATGGTCCTTGGTTGGGATATGAGTCTCTGCAGGGCCCACAGGGCCCAGTTTTTTTGGTTCTGTTGCTCTTCTTGTAGAGCTCCTGTCCCCTCCAAGTCTTTCTATCTCCCCCTTCTTATAAGATTCCCTGCACTCTCTCCAAATTTTAGCTATGAGTCTCAGCCTCTGCTTTGATACCTCAATCAAATAAGTATAATTCAGATTAATTTAACATAACATAAATGCACAATTCTACTTTGATTGGTAGCATCCATTGCTTGAGATTAGTGATTTTGCCGACCTGGATATAAAGTATCCCATGATTAAGTAGTCTGCTGGAAGGGAAAGACTCTGAGGATTTTAATGAGGACTCTGATGTTTCGCTGCTACCAAAACACATGTTTGGGGGAAAAGTTTCATAGGAGTATTGTTTATTTACTGTCAGGGATATCCTGAGCTAACCACTTTGAAATCAGGAGGCAGAAGGGACACTTGTACTCATTTTTCTTTTATCATATTTTTAAATATTTCAGCAAAATGAATAAATGACCTGATAATTTTTACAGGCAGTAAAATTGGTGCTATCATTTTGACATAATGCCAATGACCACTCAAAGATAGCTATTACTGACAGAGATACATATTATTCATCAGCCAATTGGGAGTAGAAACCACAATCATCTTAGCAGGAGAAAGTGAATTCAAACATTAGGCAGTCAGGAAACAGAAACATGAAAAAGGTAATACAAAATTTTCATTAATCAACTGTAGAAGTGGTGGTCAAAAGGAGAGAGAGAGAGAGAGAGAGAGAGAGAGAGAGAGAGAGAGAGAGATCAGGCTTCTTAAATTAGCTAGTAACATAGATCCGGTGCTGAAACAGCTAGCATTCAAACCTCTGAGAATCAGGTGTTGCTGAGTTATTTCAGCCTCAGCAGCGACACAGAGACACCACATGGGCTTGGAGCACAGGTCTTGGGTGAAGCAGACCAGAAGCCATAGCTAGGGTCTGTGAGGGTGCACACAGTGATGGTTTGGAGACGGTAGAAGAAATGCAGACAGAAATCATCTGCACTATTGGAACAGCCAGTAGCCACATTGCTGAAGGAGAAGCAAGAGACGCTAAGTCTAGAAAACAAACAGGACCAAGCTAGAAGAAAGCAGCCCTCCCCATTAGCCTTCTAATGCCTCTCAGGGGCCCCTGTTGGCAGAGCATCCTTCTATCAGCTGAAAAAGAGCTGTAGATTCCAACATCCCAGGCTGAGAATGACAAAAGTGAAGCATGGAAGAGTAGATTTGAAGCTATGTCATGATAGCGTAGCAAGCAGCTCGGGCTTAACAAACAAAATGAAGCTCACTGTTCCACTGGCCTTCAATAACAGTATTTTTTCAAGGGTATGTTCAGTACTTATGGCTGGATTCCTGTATTCAGTAACCATTTTGAGAAAATTACAACTGAATTAGTTTGATAATGCATGGAAAGTAGTTGGATAAAGCTAATCAACCGAACACAAGTGAACTTTTAATAAATCTCTTTAATTATCTTAAACATAATTAAAATATATCTTGTTGCACTAACACAATAACTCATGATGAAGAGAAAACTATGGGATAAGCAGGTGCTCCTTGTTTCCTGTGGAATGACAATACAGGAAATGCACAGCACAAAACAGGGCTGCTTATGTGCAAAATAATTCCCAGGTTTCTCAGCAAAATCCCCCGTGAAGTAGTAAATGGGTAAGGCTTCTGGAATGTTTGAGTGAGTGGCAGGAACATGGTTTTTCTGAGCATAAGGACAAATGAGCCTCCTCTTCTCCCCCAGAAATGATTACTGTGAAGGTCAAATGCTAATGTGCAAGCCTTGAGGTCAGAAGAGGTCTGATGGTAGGTGAGAAGAGGTCCCTTGACCACTGGGTCAGAGCCCTGGAACCCACAACTTAAAAACGAGAAGATAAACTCCAAGAACTTGTTCTCTGACTGCTACATGTGCACTGTGG